GTACCCAGAATTTTAGACTCCCAATATATTTTTCTTTTGCATCCCAAGGCAGAATCCCTAGTGTGGCAAGGTGTCTCCCCATTGTATTGTGATAGGATCAAATGAGGGAAGTGGACAGGCACACATAGTGCCACAAATTTTCCTTCTACTTTCACTGGAATCACTTCTTGGTTTTACATTTGTCTGGGTGTATTATGGCTTATATCTAGATCCCCCCTTCAAAGCCTCTTGTGGTCATAGGTAGAGCTTTTCAGAGGTAGCTGGATCCAGAATGTGTGATACTTGAATTAAGGATGTGATGCTGGGAGTGATTTAAGGTGCAATGCTAGGATTAAGGGAGTCCCACCCTGGATCTGAGTGCTATTTGCCCTAAGTGCATGTAGCCTAGATAGAATATAAGGCACAGAAAGAGGATAGAATGTAAGGTACAGAAAAGGGGCTGCTGTTGTCACTGCTTTTTGCTTGCTGCTTCCTACTTCACTGTTTTGCTGCCTTCTGTCTGCCACGAACTGTTTCTCTTCTGCAATGCCCCTCTGCCATGCCACCCTGCCTTGGACCCAGCCGATTATGGACTGAAACTTCTATAAACTGAGCCAAGTAAACCTTTCATCCTTTAACTTTGGGTATCTGGGTGTTTTGTCTCAGCAACAAGAAAAAAGTAACTAAGACAGGATGTTAGAACTTTCCAACTGGTTTCTACAGTGTTCTTTCAATGATATTTTAGTCTGTACGCTCTTGTTAACTCAGTGTCTCTGGAAGAGCAAGGCCCTGAAACCTTTTAGTTTGCTATCTTGCTGATATCCCATTTGGTTCATTTTGCGGGGGTCTATATAACTAATTTTTTATCGGTATACCGGGGATTGAACTCAGGACCTTGTGCTTGCCAGGCAGATGTGGTGCCACTGACCTATATCCCTGGCCCTCTAATTGTAGTAATTCTCCATGTCTTCATTCATTTTGTCCATCTTTACTCGATTTTTAAAACATATTTTAATAGTACAAGTTCTTTATCTACTAATTCCAGTATCTGTGGGTCTTCCTCTACTGACTTTTTTTTTTTCTTTTTTTGGTACCAGGGCTTGAACTCGGGTCCTTGCGCTTGAGCAGCAGGCAACGAAACCACTGAGCAAATTCCCTGGCCCCTCTACTGATTTTTTCTATTGATTATCTGTAATATTTTCTTGTCTCTTAACATTTTTATTGTGTGGCAGAGTTATTGAATAAGCTATAGACATTGGGCTGAATATTATTCCCCAGAGAGAGCATGCCCTTTCATGTATCAGCCTGCTAGCATAGGAGCCTTCTATCTAATCAGCAGTTATCTGCATCAGAACTGCTGCTACTCTAGTTATTTTCTGGTTTACTTTGGTTTTGAGGGATAAGAGTACAGGGCAAGTCATACCCTATGATTATTCCATTTCTCGCTTCCTAGGAGAAACATGACATAATGAAGATCTTTCTGTTTTTCAGCTCAAATCTCAGCTTCCTGTGCTTCCATACACTTAGCATGTCCTGTGGATTAAAATTGGCAGGAGCGGGCAAATTAAGTCTATGTTAAGGGCATCTGCAAATTGCACTCTGTCACATAGGCTCTCATGATTGTTATAAGCACTGCTGGTTTCTCCTTACCCTAGCAAAGCTCTCCCTCCCTCCCTCCTTGTCTCTATTTCTCTCCTTCTTTCTTAGGTTAGGTATTAGTTTTTGCATTGCTGGGGCACAATACCTGACTCCTACAACTTAAAGGAGGACAAGTATAATTTGGCTTTTGGTTTTAGGGCATTCAGTATGTGATCAGCCAGCTTCAAGGCAGAGGCATCATGGCAGAAGGGCCTGGTAGAGCAAAGATGCTTTAGTTCATGGCATCTGGGAGGCTGAGCAGAGGAACAGTGCCACAGAGAAAGGGGCAAAGGATCAGACAGCACCCAAGATCACACTTCTGTGACCCACCTAGCCACACCATCTCTTGGGTGGTTCCCAAGCCAGTTAGGTTGACATAATCAAGCTTAACTGTCACAGGTTGTATGTATGAGAAATTGTTCTTCCTTTTGTAACCTGTTCTTTTTTATTTCTTTATGATTTCTTGTGATTAGTAGCTCTTAATTTAAATGTTTCTTCTAGTGGTTTCATAGTTTCAGGTCTTGCATTTAAATCCAAAGATCTCTTCTAAAAACCTAGAGCCAAAATAAAACCTTTATTCCTTTAAGTTGTGGGTCTTAAATATTTCAGGACTGGGGGTATGGCTCAGGGGTAGAGTACTTGCCTAGGATGTGCAAGGCCCTGGGTTCCGTTCCATTCCTCCTTCTCTCCCTCCCTCTCTCTCCCAGCTATTCTAGTTGTAGTCAATAGCAGCATTGGTCTTAACCATCTAATTCATTAGCAGAAGCAGAGTCTCTGTCATAAGCACCGTATCTCTACCTACCTTGGTCTTAGGATTGTAGTTTTGAGTAAATTGACAGAAGCTGTAGGAGTTTCTGCTAATAATTTGTGAAGATATGTGTCCAAACCCAGTACAGTAGACCATTGGAACCATTTCTGCTCATGCTCCTAACCTTAAGTGAACCCATAGCAGCAGAGTGACTTTTTAAAATGTACTTGGAACTATCAGTAATAATAGTTATTGTGTATTACTCCAAAGCGCCTTCTTTAAACAGCCTAGCAGCTATGGTATATTTTTTCATGAATTCTTCCCTGGTACCTTAGGTAGGCAGAAGGAAGGGTGGTTGTAATTCATCATTATTTATTTATTTATTTATTTTTGTATTAAATTCTTTTATTGGTACATTGTAGGTATACAACACAATTACATTTCTCATTGGG